ACTTTCAGGTTATCTGGCCCTCTTGAAGTCCTGGGATGTAAGAGTGATGAGGGAGTCAAGCTGTGTGATTCTCCCAAAATGCTTTCACTGTCCACTCCTGTTAACAGAGAGAAGATTGAAAGGCCTTCTGCACAACACACACCGTCTGCCATCTTTGCTCCAGAAGTGTCCTTCATGGAAGCCATGGTGCCGGAAGCTGTGTCTACGGTATCTTCACAGCAGCCTTCCCAGGTATCCTTGCCTGGAAATGCTGACCTACTGAGTGAAGAGGAGCAAAAATCTTAGAAGCGGAGGGGCACGCATTTCCGGGAGCTAAGCAGCTTGTGGGTCTGCTTGGAGGAGAGTTGAGATGGTTGGGTCATCCAGGCCCGCATCTGTCTTTCCTAGGGAGTGGGGGTGGAGAGCAGACTCAGGAAGCCTCTACCTCATGGTAGAGGTAGAATGTAGAAGCCTCTACCTTTCCAGCCGCTTGTGTTCTGAACATGTTATAGAGATAAATCTAGATTTCATTTATTGTAGTTGCTTCAAGCTGGGGCAAAAGCCACAGGTTTATGTTGATTAAAGAGCAAATGTGGGAGTGTGGATTGGTCTCTTAGAAGTAGCATGAATCAGAATGGAGGTTCCAGAGAACTTCACCTTCCAGCCTATTCTTCTCTGCAGATTTGGGAGAATTCCATAGCTTTGGAAAGCTTTGCAGAACTCTGTAGTAATGGATGGGTTTACTGGAAGGTGGGGGACTACAGCATGCAGGCTGTTGGAGAGGGCTACAGTGTGGACAAGCAGTGGACAGAAGGGCCTGGGTCTGCAGGCTCAAGACCACTGGAGGACTGCACCAGAAAGGCTAGGATCTAGGATCCAGTTCAATGCAGGCCCAGCTTACTGAATTTCTCCTGTGTCTGGTGTGAGGCTGCATACTGTATATGTGGGCTCAGCCAGAAGGACATGAGCCCTACCTTCATGAAGCTCAGGGTCCGGCGAGGAAGCCAGATTTTCAGCAGTTAAATCTGTAAGAGAAGTGTAGGTGCTGTGGGTACGTACGTGCTGGTGTGTACTGTGTCTGAGTGGGTTGGAGGTTATGGCTGGAGACAAGAGCCTGCTTGAGGAAGCATCCTTTTGGCTGATATTAACTAGAAGACAGACAGAGGAGAGCCTGATGAATAGAGCCTATGAGTATGGATCCAGTTCCTGCATAGGTGTTTAACATGGCAAGTGAGCGAGCGAACAACTGCAAAGAGAAGAGGAGGAGCTGGGGCCACCGCACACTGTTGAGGCCCGGTGGGGAGGGAAAGATCTGGTTATCCAGGACAAAGCACTCTGCCTGGGGTCTGGGAAGTGAAGGAATCCTGGAGTGAGATGGTCCAGACAGGTAAACGGGGAGGGCAGTGACTCAGCCTCATGTTTAGGGAAGTAGGGAGCCATTGAAAGCTCTGAAGCAGGTCTCCCCTGTGCTTCTCACTTTTAATTGTAGGAGAATAGGAACAGTGCCTGCTGGTATCACGGATGGCTCCTCAACCATCGTTCATCACTAGAATAATATACTGGCCTGTCCAGTACTCTTTCAACCTAGGGCATTTCCTTTTAAGGTGGCCGTGGGGTTGGGCACTTTCTACTTCAGCTGAGCTGAAGGGACCAAGTGAGCTGGAGGACATGGGCCCCCTCAGTGTTCTCTGACCTGGCATCCCTGCCTGCCATTCACAGACCTGAACTGATGGCAAGTGAGAGAGGCAGAGGCCCAGGGAGAACCTGCATGAGCTGGCTGTGCTCCATGGTGGCCAGAGAGGAGGAAGAGGCAGAGGAGGAAAAGGGGGAGGACGAGAAGGAAGAGGAGGGGGTCCTTGCCTCAGATTTCCCAGAGGCTCATGATTAGAACTCTGAGTTGGACCTTTTTACACTAAGAGCCGAGGACCGATCTGCTAGTCTCATGTCTTCTCTCTTTTATAAAGTTCGGCAGCAATAACCAGAGAGCGAAGAAGACCAAAGATACAGGAAGCCTATGAGTGTATTAATACCCATCTGTGTGCCTACAGATGGGGAGATGAAACTGTAGGCATCTGGGGCCTTGGGATGTGCAGTGATTCTGCCGTACCTTAAGACTGTTTTTCTCGTTGCTTCCTAGCGCAGTGGCCCCACAGCTCCAGGTCCCTGTCCTGGACAGGGACAGGGCTGTGAGTCCTTTGTCATGAAACTTTCCAAACACAGCCACCCCTCTTATAATGATTGGAGGAAGCAATCCAAGTTCACCTTTGAAGTTGAAAGGTGGCAGTCCCTATACTGGTGTGCCCTTGATATGCCCAGCCCAGGAGAAGTGGCGTCTGAGGAATAAACTCTAGGTGAGCCTTCTCTTCCTGAGGAATGGCTTGGGCTATCCAGTGTTGCTGGGCAGGGTGTATAGTTTTATAATATAATGAATTGTAGGGAAATATCAAATTGTAAATGAGCATAAACATAATACTTTTTTTGCCCAGGCTTTTTTCGTGGTGTGTCTATAAGGGGCAAACAACCCTTGCTCACATCCAGCATCACTTCCTCCCCCTTGGGCCCTGACCTGCTTTTCCTTCCTGCTCCTCTCCTCTCTGTTGGCTTCTTTTCTGGATGCAGGGCAGTCAGTAGGCCTTGGATCTTGTGCTCTGTGCATCTCTATTAGAGGTCTGGTGAGTAAGGTGCTCCCTGTGGTCTGACAGGTGCTTTCCCTGGGTGTCATATGTAAGTGTGTCTCACTAACATGCTGGAGATTGGGGGGATGGGTAGGCTTTGTCTGAGATGTTGTACGAGACAGTGATTTCCAACTGCCCACTCCTGTCTTGTTATTTATTATTTACTCATTTATTGGCAGTGTCTTACAAAGTCTTGGAGGAGCTATATGAACTGCTTGTTTATGTCTGAAATGGGAACTTTGATTCCTGTCCACCTCCTCCCTGCCTCACTCCAGGTTTCAGATCAGTCTCCCATCTGTGTCAAGGCTGCCTCTGAGTAGCCAGCAAAAGCCCGTAAGATTGCACAGGACCTGGGTGAGGCTGGTTTATGTTAGAGTGTTCTGATTGCATACTCTATGGGTTGGTTGCTCTGCTTCCTTTCCTTTCCTGTGAGCTCCTTTCCAGTGATTTCTGGGGCTCAGAGGGCTCTTGTGGTCTTAGTGAGTCTAAGGTGGTGGCACTCAAGATCCATGTCCACCACCTTTGTTCTTTCCCATACCCCTGTTACGTCAGTGTAGGAGAGCTACCCCCTCCACCCAGACTTCCTTGCTGCTGTGATTTAGATTCTCCTATGTGAGATTCACTTAACACTGGGATGCAGAAATGGGCAGTGACCCTTCTCTTCAGCAGTGTGGCCAGTTACATGCGGCCCTGGCAGATGGGAGTGTTTGTGACAGCCAGGCCCTGCACTCACTTTCTGGTGACCTGCTCCCCAGGTATGGAATAGGTGTGAGAGTACAGTTTCCTGCAGCTTTCTGGTCATTGATTACTGCTGCCAGTGTCCCTGATGTTGATCCTCCGGTCTCTGCAGCTTGAGCTCTTCCTGCACCTTGGCTAACACTGATTTCTGCTTGAACTTTCTGATTTGTGCACTGAACTCTTGTTGGGAGAAGCAGTGTTCCTTGCTTCTCTGGGAACTCTTAACCGTGATAGCTATGGAGGTCAAGGTGGGAAGGCAGAGACAAAAGGGGAAAGGAGGGTCACTCTGGTCGAGCCTGTTCCTGTGACTCTTGGTAAGAGAAAGTGTGGCTTCCTCCAAGGGCTCATATCCTCCCTGGGTAGTTCCTCCATTGTTTTGGATTGTATTTTAGCCAAGGAGGCCAACAGAGCCTTGTTGGCAGGGCTGACACAAAATGGTTTGTTGCAGGGGCTGATATTGATATTGGCATTGGTCCACCAACTACTTATCCCACAGACTCAAAATAAAAGGGAAAAGTTCTTCTGCCCTAAGGCAGGGCCAAGGTGCACTTTCATGAAAACATAGACTCCTCCAAGGCCTGTGCTGTAGCTTCTGAGAGTGGGAATCTGGACAGTGGTCAAGAGCTTCTCCCAGCTGTAGTCATTGTATAAGCCTCCTATGCACTGGGCTCCCCCAGCCAGGTCTGGTCTAGAAACAGAGGCACTTGGGGCCATGTGACTTAAGCACTTGCTGGGTGTATTGGATTCTCTAAAGGAAGAGAATCAGTAGAAAATATATGTATCCTTACGCAAGGGGATTTATTAGTCAAGCTTACTGGATCAGAGGTGGGAGTCTACAGTGGCCATCTGTACTACAGAGCATAGTAGCTGCTCAGCTTAAGACAGAAGCCAGAGAACGAGGGGGATCAAGGATGCAGCACTTGTCTAAGGCCTCAGGCATGGAAGTTCACTGCGGAGTTGCTGGTGCGAGTCTGTATCGGAAGACTGAAGACAGTAGACACCAGAGTCCAAAGGCGATGGCCAAGACTGGGGCTCTCCTCAAATGGGCACGCTTTCTCCTCTCCCAGGCTCTTGTCCAACAAGCCTGTCTGTTGGAACCACCACATCTGGGATCGGTCTTTCCACCTGTGGTTGATGTCCTGCATGACGAAATCCACAGACACACCCAGGACTGTATTCAGATTTGATATATCATGGTTGACAGTCATATGGGGACTTTAGTGCATGTGTAACAAGGAAGGAGGCCTGTGTAGGTGACATGGTAAGTCCTGACTGTCCCCAGGGGGCCCAGCAGGTGGCTGATGGGAGCCACCTGACTTGTGTAGGTAGGAGAGGGATTTAACAGATGGGTGCAGAGTCCACTGCCTCTACGTTGGAGCTGAGAATACCCACAGAAAACAGAAGTCAAACACTTTATTTTAGGTCATGAGAGACAAAACAACCGTTGCTCTCCTTAAATCAGATGTTTGTTCACATATACATCAGCCAGCTCCATCCAACTCAGGGAGGATCTCCATGCTGAGAGGATCCCTTTTCACTTTTTTTTTTTTTTTTGCAGAACCGGGGATTGAACTCAGGTCCTCGCGCTTGCCAGGGAAGCGCTTATTCCACTGAGCCATCTTCCCAGCCCCCCTTTTCACTCATTTAGCTGGCAGAGCAGAGCAGATCCCTTGGCAATCCAGTAGTCTTTGGACCGCTTAGATGGTAAGAGGACAGTCACCACGAAGTTGGTTGAGTGGCCTAAGTAAGCAAGGAGACAGGGGAACAGAGTTGTTAGTAGAAGGATAACCTCTGCTACAAAGAGAGGAGACACTGAGAACTAAGACCCCTTAGATTCCAGACTCAACTGTCTCTAAAGGCATGCCAAGCAGCCCTCTACAGGTTTCAGTCATATGCTTTAAAAAAATGAAGAATTTTGAGCCAGCGCTGCTTTTGTACCAACCCACGTTAGAGTTGGTATTACTGTGAACCATGCTTCCAGTTTTCTGCAGTCTGACTAGGAGTAATGGGCTCGGATTCAGGCCTGAGCTTTCAAGGGGACTTGGGCATGCAGTGGGAGGTTGGGTGTCCATTCATTCATTCGTCCACCCGTTCACCACTCCATCATTTCTTCTTTGTTCTATCCCTCTGCCATAGCACCTGGGCTCCTGATTTGCTACTTCTGTTCCTGACTCTGCAAGAGCTGCCAGCTGTGTCAACATCAGGGAAGGCAGTGGCGTCCAAAGCGGAGAACACCGATACCTCCATCTCCTTGCCTTTGTATGCCATTCCCTGCCTGGTTCCTTGGTAGGTGCTTGAATGACAGGCCAGATTCAAGGCCAAGGAATCCTGTCTGAAACCTAGACAGTTTCTGTGGTTGTATTGGGTTTTGGGGACTTTGGAATGTAGCCCACGCTTGGGAAGGACCTAAGCTAAGCATCTGCTTGCAACCTCCTTTCCCCCTTTTCCAGGCTTCCCGGGAGGCCTGTCCAAAGCACACACCCTGTTCAAATAGTCCTGAGGACTGCATGAGCCCTCCTGTAGGTCTGGAAAGTATGTGGGCCGCAAGCAGCATCTCTCAGTCACTGATGCTGATTTAAGCAGTCAACTCACTCTTGGCCAGAAATGATGGATCGGCCAAGAGCGAGCTGAGAATTGCAGAACTGCACTGTAGTTCCCAGTCTCTGCATCTCACTTCCGCTTCTTAAGGGGTTCGCAGTGCAGTGCTGAGATGAGTCAGCAGTCGGACAGTAACTGCCCTCGACGGGTGGATGGCTGGGTTCGTGCTTGTGTGGCTCGCTTGTCACGTGACCGCCTGAGCAGAAGTCCTGAAGGCTGATATTGGAGGTCCAGTGCCACAGTGGCTGCGAAACGGGTGGTGAGAGCAAGCATGTGGATCAAGAGGTAAAGGTGGGCTGCTACTGCAAGTGACATGGAAAGGGAATTCTGGGTAGCTGTGCCTGTATGACAAAGCATGGCAATGAAAGGCAGCATGTCTAGGTTCCCTAGAAGGGCCTCTGGTGCTTGGTATCTCAGACCCTTGGGGGCTTTGTAGCTGCCAAGCCAGGCCAAACAAGAGCCTGCTACCTCTAGAAAGGACCAAATCCTGTCACTGGACCCAGCTGGGGCTATAATTCAGTGAAAGAACATTTTTTTGGGGTATGCATGTGCATTGCTTTTATTTAATATTTTTCCTTTTTTTAATTATTGAGAGACCATGTTTTCCATCTGAGAATAATTCAGGCCTCTGTGAACTTGTAATAATGTGTAAACTTCCTGTTTTCATTAAATTTACACTGATACAACCAACATGAGACTTGGACATATGTTAGTTTAATTAATTAAAAAAAAACAGCATGTTTTTGTGATTTTTAACTTAAAACGTGTCAAGAAGTTTTAAGAATGCATTGATCTATGATCCAGACTTACTGTTAACATTGAAACATTTTTTTTAATGAAAAAGTTCAAAGATCTTAGATACAATTTAAGCTTTTGCTCCAGCCTTATCACCCATGCTTTTCTATACTCAAGGATGTGGTTGGTTGGGTTTTAAAATGATTGCCTTGCTGTCCTCAGTGGGTTAAATCGGATGTGGATTAGTGGGCCGAGCCCACCACATATTACTTTCTACACAAGCAGCTGCCCGCAGCCTCTCTGGGTTCCTTGCTGGGTGTCAGTGGCCAGACATGACAACTGCTTGTGGGTACCTTTTCCATGCCTGAGAAGGCGGATATGCCGTGGATCCAAGAACTCTTGGATCAGATCGTGACTGTTTAGAAGGAATTTAAACCAAAGCTCTTCACCCTCGAAGTGAACTGTTTCATAGTTCCCTAATCCCGTCACCCTAAATTCACATCTACGTCCAGGAAAAAAGCGGAATCAGAGTTCAGGTGCCTCCAGCAGGTTGTTGTCGGTATCACTAGGATAGAGTTCAGCTGCCTGCCTGTCAAGTCTACTAAGTTTTCACTGTGACTGAAGTGACTTACGTAGGCAGTGGTCACTGAGTGCTGGGCACTGCCCTAAGCATTTTCCAAACATCAACATGTTCCTTCCTGATTACTGTGTGAGACAGGTACTGTTTCACCAGTTAGCCCGGCCGCCTTCTGAGATCGCTTAATCCAGGACTCAAATGCTTCTTTAGCCTTGGAAAACTAGCTATCCTTCCCCCAAAGGTTCCCTCCCCTCTATTCTGCCTTCTTCTGGGTCCCTAGTAGGTACATGTTGGAGGGACTGCTCTTTCCAGTGTCAACCTTTCCTCTTGTCACTTTTGGGACCTTCGCAGTCCATTCTGCAGCTATCTCTCCACTTCTCCATTGAGTTCCTTTTCTTTCTATCTGGTTCCTTTTTTTTTTTTTTTTTTTTTTTTTTTAAGAGCTCTATCTCTGTTTCAGGTCCACTTAAAGTTTTGTAGCATTGTTTCCCATTTATTGGTTTATTTTAAAATCTTTTTCTTTGCTGAGCCAAAATGAATTTGGTGAGAGAGACATTTTAGTGTCTGTTCAGTCCATTTTGAAACCAAAAGTTTCTGCTTATCAAACTCTTATTTTCTCCACTGCTAATCAAACTCTGTTTTCTCTAGTTTCTTCTTTTTTTTCCTATGAGTTTTGACAGAAAGGAGCATCAACTATGGTACATTCAGAACAAATATATTTATATATTTGAGTGATTAGTTGGCCCAAGAACTCCCTTAGTACCACTGGGCTCAACTGAAACTTTTGTTTGGTCAGTAGCAGTACCAATCGTAACAGTGTCCTCACCTGTGGTCGACAGGGTTCCTGCCCGAGCTCCTGTTTTGTAGAGTGGGGAGTGGTACAGTGTTGGGGCTGGCTCATAGTTCTGTTGTGGCTCAAAATGCACCACAGGCAGCATGGGATTCATCTGTCCTGGCAGTGCGTCTTCGATGACCATCTCATTATCATCCCACCGAGAAGCATCCATGAACATCCCGTGAACAAGGACGCCGTCCTCGGGAGAGGGCAGCTGAAAGACACCCGCAAGGGACAGGGTCAGAAGCAGAGGGAACAGCAGTGGGGGCCGTGTCCTATGTCCCACAGCCTTACCAGGTTGTTGTAGAGAACATTCTAAAATTGTACTTATTTCATTTTTAGAGAGGAGTACTGTGAGGATTCGCTTCTTAGTTTTATGCTGAATCTCATACTTTTCATACCCGGCAAGGATGTCCAAGGACTCGAAGTAGGCTGCAGACTACCTGGTGCCACAGTGTAGTGACGTTTTCCCTTCTCTTGGGAAGTGGATGGGACCTTACTTCTTGGTAAAGAGTGTGAATACCCTCTGCCCTCCTAGGAGACAGATTCTATATCTACAATAATTAATATTTATAGAGAGCCTCAGAAAGTTCCTTTCTGTTCTTTTTTATTTCCATTAAAGATGATGCTTACTTTTTAAGTTGAGAGAAGAGCAAGAAGAGGAGAGGAGAGCAGAGACGAGAGAGGAGGAGAGGAGAGGAGAGAAGAGGAGAAGAGAGGTGAGCAGAGCAGAGGAGGAGGCCCTGTTCTTTAGTGTTCGTGTCTGGGTGTTTCCACGGGTGTACCTATGCCATCCTTCCTCAGACACTGTTAGTGTGGCTAATTCTGGGTCTGACCTTTGGATAATTGGAGCCCCACACCTACAGTCAAAGAACTAAGCAGTCTGAGCAACACGTAGCACACTGTAGAGTGAATAAATTCCTTTTAGGGCCGGGGAGATGGCTCAGTGGAATAAGCGCTTCCCTGGCAAGCGCAAGGGCCTGAGTTCAATCCCTGGTTCTACCAAAAAAAAAAAAAAAAACCTTTTGCTTGGTCTTTGCTTTTTTGGGTCCCAGATTATGTTTCTTGGGTACAGCAGAGTGGGATGGCGCTTCCTGTTTGGGGGATGCTAAGGAGGTTTGTGTAGGTTTACCCTGAAAACCACCTTGCCACCTACTTGCCAAGCCACATGCAGGAACCATCTGGAAGGGTGGCCACCCAGAGGGAGTGCATTTTCTGAAGGGGCACAAAGGTGACAAATGTGCTGGTAGGAGTAGTCTTGCCTGTTTTGTCACAGAAGTAGAGCTCTCTGAACACATAGCCTGGCTGTCTCTTGCAGATGTCAGCTGGGTCAGCTAAGAGATTGGCTAGCAGGACCATCTGAGCCCCCCCCCCCCCCCAATTCTGTCATTGTAAGGTATTGTCACTGCTCAGGGCACCGCATGGGTGCGGTGGAGCCCCAGAGGCCCAGGATGTGGGGCTTCAGCCCAAAGGTCACTTGAAATCCCTCCCCATCGGTCAGCCTCTGTGGCAGAGAGAACATGCTGGGCCCAGAACAGCGCCAGCATCCTGCAGGATTTGGCCGATGGCTGTCATGTAGCTGTTGTCCCACCCTCCAGCAGTCTCAGTTACTTCTGACATGGACCCAGGACACTTCTGACCCAGAAGGATGCTAAAATCATATGCAGTGCACCTTTAAGTTGATTTCTTCCTTATCTAAAAGTATTTTGATGACAAAACAATTTTCTTTAAAGACACATGCCTTTTCCCTGTCATTTTAAAGTATAGGTAATTAAGAGGCACGACTCTCATAGTATTTCACAGCTGAAGCCATGAATATGGGATCAATCTGATCGCTGTATTTTTTGCTGATCAGAATGGTGACTTGGGTGGAGACTGATAGAATTGCCCCAGAGCCATCCCTGCTAATAAATACCATGGCATTTTAAGGAAAGTTTCATAAAAACCACTTAGCCCAACTACTCTGATTGGTTAGTGAACACTTTCTTGTTCACTAAAAAGCAATCTGGAGCAGTCTTTAATCTCACAGCATGTATAGATAATTGCATGCGTAAGGCACCCTGAGTGGAGAGTTGTTTTGGAGACAGAGGCTCCTGGCCCCACAGGGCAGCTCATTCCTGGCTGTACACTGGAAATGTGGCATGGGGGAGGATCTTAAACATTAACAGTGATGCCGGGACCGCTCTAGAGAATCCCATGTAGTCAAGGTGTGACCTGGCGGTGGAATCTTTAAATAGCTCGTTTGATGATTCCAAGCTGCAGCCAGGTTGAGGCTCGCTCATATGTGGAGGCCATGGTTCTCAGGCTGTAGTGGGCTCAAAGTTCCCTGCAGGGTGTGGTAAAATGTAGAGGTCCAAGTCCCAGCCCAGGGCTTCTGGTCCAGCATGTCTGGAGTCGGGCCTGGGATCTGTACTTCTACCCAGTTAGCAGGTGATGCTGGCACTGCACACTGAGTACCAAGGTAGAGGAGTGAACTGCGTCATTCGGCTAAGTACACACGTGGTAGTTCTTAGAGAATCTGTAAAGTTAGCTTCCTGATTGCCTGGAGACAGCTGAAAGGATGATATAGACAAATGAAGCCTAGTAATTTACTGTAGCATGCGCTGGTCACGTGACCCAACGGACGCTGTTTCATACTGCACTCAGCACTGACGCTGGTGTTACCAACTTCATTTTATAGATGAGACTACCAAGATGCAGGTATGTTGGCAGTTGTTGTGTCATACAGAGTTGGAGCATTAAGAGTCAGGAGAGAATCAAAGGTAGGCTCCTTTGCTTCGGAAAGCCTCATTTTTAATGGTTTTGCTATGTTGCCTTGCAAGATGGATAAAGTTACTGTAGGTATCTAAAGCAATGAAACAGCATTGCTTGGAAAAAGCATTTCTATAAATCAGACTAAGCTTATACTGCATCCATGCTGTCATTGCTAACTGTGGAGCTCATCTTGGGGTGTGATCACAATGTTCCCCTCCTCCTGGTAAGGGAGATGAGGGAGATCGGCTAAACTCTTGAATGACAGTGGGACATGACACAAACTTCTTTGCCCTAGTAGCAGGTAGACAATACCTGCAGGTCCATGGGCAGTTCTTGTCCAAACTGCACTGTCTTGGCAGCTTCTATCACTGCAGCTTGATCCCTGTAGGTAGGAACCACGTTGTACTTGAAACTCAGTTCATCAATAGGCAGGTTGTATTTCCGAGCATGGTTTTGAAGAGTTCCTGTACAGATGAAATCCAGAAATCTGGGCCCTGCAAATAACATTCCTAATCCACACACACTACACCCCTCTCCCAACAGGGTGCTCTAGCACTAGAGAACTTCTTCTCCAAAGAAAACCCAACTACGGATGCTCTACTTGGCATTAGTTCACAGAGACTGGAAAGCTGTGGGTTATGTTGGGAGGTGAGGACCCAAGAGATGTACAAGTGCTGGCCAGCCCTGGGAAGAAGAGGAAAGAGAGCTGGTTCTGGAGTATACTCCCTTCCCACAAAGGAAGTTTCAGGACCAAATCACTCTAATTTGGTATTTGTCCAGTATGGGATGTTTATTAGGGATTAGGAATGTGATAAATTAAGGGCAGGCTATTTAGTATCCAGTAGGCCCAAAGTCTGGGTCTTCTGGGGCTCTCTAGCCAGATTTCTCAAGGGCTGATGGAAGGGCATTGAGGGTATGTTTTAGAGGGAGGGAGGCTGTGCAGAGCTGAAGTCCGTGCAGGTGAAGGGCAGATGGTGCCCTTGAGCATGGATCACATGGGAAACTGAGTCACAAGCTTGTGTTCATGTATGCAGCAGTGCCCACTCGAATGATCTGCAAGGGGCAGAAATTAGGTTGTTGGGGGACATCGGCTCTTTCTGTCATCTTTCCCCCCCAGTCATCAAAGAAGAGCATGACTTTGTTGGACTGTTCTATATTCCACTGCCAGGCACCTAGTACAGGTGCTAACCCCCAGCTCCTGGAAACCCTGTGCATAGCAAAGCACGGCCTTCCTGTGGGATTTTTCTAGAAAGCATTGGTACCTGTTAGAAATCCTTGAGGAAAGAAGAAACCGGAGATCCAGAAGGACTTGGGCTGTCCTCTTTTGAGCCACAGCTGAAGGAGAGACATTATATCATGATGAGGAAAATAGAAAGTTAACTTTTTAGAGTTAAATTTCCTACAATCAGCCATTTCTCTGAACAGATTTGTCTTCCATCAACAGCAGATCCATATTTCCCTTCTCTAACCAACCGTATCCCGAACCCCCATGTTATCTCAAGCACTTGTTTTCTGCAGCTTTGAGCTTGCCCCCACCCTGCACCTGTGTGCTTCCCCTAACTCCAAACTTGCCCAGAGTTTGAACTTGTTTTAGTATGCAATATGATGTAGTTTTCTCTTAGGCCAATCAGTAATAATGACATATGATGTAACCAACCAATTACCACCAAATACTCTGCTTCTGTACTTCCCTCTTGCAAACTCCATGTAAACCTCTAAACTAACAGAGATCAGGGCCTGACCTTTTGTGGACCTATTTCCTGTCAGGGAGGTCTGATGACAGTTGAATAAATCTGCCTCCAAATCCTAGGTGACATTTCAGTGTTTCTATTTGCTACTGCAACATGGCACTTTATTTCTGAGCTGGAGTTTGCCATCTAAGCCAGAGTGACATTTTGGAGGCTGCTCAGGGGCAGACTGTAAGCTGGTCCTGAGTTAGTGACTACCTCATTGTACTGCCTGTGCCTCCTCCTCACCTCCTAGTGTAGCAGCAGAACCTCATTAGTAGCAGGACAGATGAGAGGGAGAGGACAACAAAGGCTCATCTGGCTGTTTGGAACCAGGTCAAATAGGTTCTGTATTTCCCAGTAGCGTCTCCTGCGCTATGGCTAAAACCCAAAGAATGGGCTGGCTAGGGAAGAGGACATGATCAACATAAGATTTCAAAGTGATGGCGATGCTCCTCTGGAAATTTATGTTTCCCTAGGCTCAGATGATCCTTCAGTGATTGTGAGCCAGAACTTGCGAGGGACTTTAGGCTCCATGTGCTATGAGATTCATCAGAATCTCTAAAAAGTGAAATGTCTTACATCCACAAATGCAGTCCTTAAAATAAGGTCCTTGACCCATGATCCTAGTGGCTTCAGGGAAGGGTAGGCTGTGTTGGACCACAGAGAAGGAACTTGGTTGTTGAGGAAGCTGTTATACACCTTTTCCATTTCTTCAGACATCACTACAAATCCAGCAATGGCTTTACTGAGTGTTTCTAGAGAAGTCTGCAAGAACAAAAGGCTTAGTGTCCTTCGCAGCTATAATGACCAAGGGTACATGGCATTCATTCATGCAGGGACCACTAGCTGGGTTCCATCCTCTCCGCATGCACACTGTCTGCTGGGCCAGGTACTGCATTCTTTCATGCGTTTCTTTACAGTGTGTGACAATGAGGGATAGCACTTAGGTGCAAGACAGCGTTTAGGCAGTAATGTGAGAGGCCAGGCTGGTGAAAAGAAGGCGGACAGGGGAGATGTTCATGGAGAACATCGCTAGGGAGATGGGATTGGAGAAAGCCACCATTCAGCTCTCTTCAGACCAAGGGAAAAATGGATCTAATAGTGACATGGACTTAGAGGGCCTGGAGATGTGTGGGGGAGAGGGATGAGGACCACCTCACACCACTGACCTTTGCTACTCAAGGAGCTCCTACAGCCTCCAGGCTCTTTATAGCAGGAAGGAAAGACTCTTACATAAGGCCAATATTCTAGCTGGTATCAGAGGGTCTCCTAGCATTGGAAATACTCCATAAAACATGACCTTTAGCCTTTCCCCTTCTCCACAGAGGTAGGCAGTAGTCCTGGGAGGTGCTGGGCTGGTAGTACAGGGTGATGTTTGCTACCTGGCTAATGACCAAGGCAGTATAGATAGATTAATGATGGCCCTTTTGGCTTCCAGTTGTATGAAAGTTTTCATATATTGGGAGAACATCACAGGAAGATGTTAGAGGCAAAATTTTTGTTGGTTAAACACCAAAATAAAGGCCAGGACCATGTGCACATAGTCTTAGAGACAGGCAGTGCATGGAAGAAATAAAGCTCATTATCCATCTGTTCCTTCTTAACTTATCAGTACCTCCTCCCATACCTCTTTTCAAAAGAGGCAGTGGGAGAAAAAAATTAGAGTTTTAGGGCTGGGGATGTAGGTCTATGGTACAGTCCTGCCCAGCATGCACAAGGCCCTCAGTTCAATCCCCAGTACCACGCACAAAAAATATAGTTTTAATTATTTGTCTTTAGGGACTAAGGCATGATGATAAACCTGTTACAGGTTTCAATGATAACAAACAGCTAGCGTTGGCATGGGAGTTTCCTGCACAGAATGCAAGAGGGTGGACCTCAGTCAGGGCCAGGACAGTTGGCCAGGAAATAAGAGCAGACACAATAGAGGATTCTGAAACAGGAATTTTGTGGCCCATACTGTGAGAACCTTTGGCTTTCATTCTTTCTGTAAAGACTGTGTTATTAAATGCCAACTAGACAGCAGGAGCCAGCAGAGACTCACTCTTGCTTGAGTCCTGAAGCCCTGGATCAATTTCTGGCGAGTCAGTGGTAATTTTAATGGTGTATGGTAGGATAAGGGGGAGGCTGGGGCTCTGCAGAGTCGCGTGCTCACTCAGTCAGTATTACAAAGAGTAAACCCAGTCTCATCAGCAGAGGGTAGGCTCAGACTTCGACAGGCTGGCTTTCAAGGGGTACTAGTGTATCTGAAGAGAAATGGTGGTAGATGGCAACTGGAAACCCTAAGCACATTCCTACTGTCACACAGTTCTCTGTGAAGCTTCGCTGCCCGGGAACAAGGGTGGAGGTGAGCTCACATACGTGGATCAGCTTCAGTAGGTTGTTAAACCGGTCTACTTCCTGGCTGAGGACAGTGGTCAAGGAATTCAGCCGTCCTTGAGGGTCCTTGACGAAAAGGCTCTCAGAAGCGCCCTCCATCATCAGCTTTTCTGAAATACACACAGCTGATGCCTCAGATCACTCATCCCTAGTTTTTGTTCTCTCTCTCTCTCTCTTTTTTTTTTTTTTGGCAGAACTAGGGATTGAACTCAGACCCTTGCAGTTGCCAAGTAAGCGCTTATTCCACTGAGCCATCTCCCCGGCCCCAATAAACTCTGTTATCCTCATATCACTACTGGCCTGTGTTTGTTTTGTTCTTTCTACAGCCATCTTCTCTCCTGGCTTAAGTCAGAGTCAAGGGGCTGTACACGTGTAACACTGCTGTCATTTAGAACTCTTTGGTGGTTCACTTGTGTGTATACAGAAGTGATCACAGGAAAATGTAGCTGAATTCATGTGTAGTGGGGAGTGTGTGTGTGTGTGTGTGAAATCAGTGCATTCCATTTCTCACCATGGCTATTTGCATCTTCTGTGACAGTTTGAGCTGTGTGGCCCCTGGCTTTGGGCAGAGGTGGGTAGGTCCTTAATTGCTTAAATAGGAGAAAGTCCCATTGAGCTAAGGTAGGAGGATGTGAACTGGAGAAAAAGAAGCTTGCTCTCTTTCCTTCTTGGGGATTGTGGTGCGGGCAGAGGGGCTGTGGGGGAAGAGGATGCGGTGGAAAGTCAGCATGACTTAGTGGAGTTTGGAAATCTGAGTGGAGTTTGGGAGTCTCCGTTGTGGATGAGGAGGTCTGGCAAGAGGGCGCAGGCAAGTGGACCTAGTTGCGACTGAGAGGAAGACAGCACTGAGGACTTCAGAGGAAAATGGCAGCAGGGCAGAGCAGCTACCTGACAGACGGGACATTCCAGAGACCAAAGGGTCCAGGGGTGCCGAGTGTTCCCTCAGACATGCCAGTGTGCAGGCTTTGCCTTTCGCTGCCCAGCTGCCTTGCTTCCAGGAGAGGAGGGACTGGTGGGAGAACAGGAGACGAGGCGTAGCCTTGGCCCACATCCCTAAGCATCCTTCAGAGGAACTGGCAGAATTGTTAAGGAGGCCCATGGTCCAACCGAGGCGGGAAATTTAGTTCTCCTTTCTCCCTATAATCCCCTAAAGGGAGGTGCAAATAAAAAGCACTGAGCTATAAAAAGGAAAGAACTGCACTTTCCCAGACTGCCTGAGGAAAGTGTGAGTAATTAAGTGGCTTCAAAATATGTGAATCAAATTCTTTAACCATTCACATCGTGGCTGTGGGAGGAAGCTCACCCAGCAGGTGCATTATTCCAATCTCTTGGGTCCACAGAGCTGAGGTAAGGCTTGTCTGGTCTTCCCCGATACCGATACCGTCTCCTCAGGGCCACTCAAAACCGTTAGTGTTTTTGTGGGACCTGTTGCCTCCTTGTCCCTCAGGCTCAGCAGATGGCCTGCTTACCATTTCATAGTAAAAGAATAAGTTTTATGAAGTAAGGTGAGAAAAACCTCCTGAATGGTTGAAATTAAACACTGGAAGTTCTACCCTGTTCATAGCAGTGTGATGGCCTTGTTCTAAGGATTAGTTGTCAGATGTCTGGCAGAGCACTTTTTTTTTTTGTATTTTAGGGAAGGGTCTACAGGTATTCAGGGTCTCACTACTGGATCAGACTCATAGTGATCCTCCTGTTTACAGCCTCCCAAGAGTTGGGAGGCTGCATGCCACCATGCCCAGTCTCAATTGCCATCTCAGTGCCCCACGGGGGGCGGGGCCAGGACCTCAGACCTGGGAATTGAACCTCTGGCCCCTGTGCCTGCTTGTAGGTGGTTTAATCTTCTGAGCTATTTGGCTGGCCCTGGCAGAGCATATTGATGTGAGCAGGATTCCCTGAAAGTCTGGCCCAAGGATGCTCTTTCTCTGACACACCTATTATATTTTTTAAAGTTTTTTTTTTTTTTGGGTGTGTGTGTGTGTGTGTGCACATACACACAGGGTCTCACTATGCAGCTCAGACTCAATGATCCTCCTGATTTGTGCTTCCTTAGTGCTGGGATTACAGGTATGTGCCTCATCGTACCCAGGGGCTGTGTTAGGGACTGAACCCTCACCCTTGCGCTTTCTTAAGCAAGCGCTTAGTCTGCTGAGCTATATCGCCAGCCCTTGACACACCTATTTAGATGGCGCAGATGCTTACAGGCTTTGGGGTGTGGCCAGCTCTGGGGCTGCAAACTCTGTCCTTGGTCAAGTGCACAGATAAAGACACTAGCGCTTTAGTCTCAAGTGCTGTCACTGGCAGGGGACTTTGGGGTCTCATTTGTGGAGAGGTCACTCTCCCTGAGCCCTTCCCAGCAGGGACTCTAAAAGCTGTGTGCTGTATTTTCAGGAGTTGGTGCTCTTCAATTTGTTGAGGTAACCTTCTTTATGTACCTTTTTCTTCTTCTGCATCACCCTGTGAGTTACTCAGAGGTGTATTGAACTTGGTTTCATTGCATTTATCTTGGTGTTAGAGGCTTTTGTTCTTTGTGAATCTGTACCTCTAAATTAAGCAGGCCATCCATCCATCTCTATATGCGTCCATCCATCCCTCTTCCACCTAGCCCTCCATATTTACTGATTAGAATCTGCTTACTAAAAGAATTGCTTTAATTTGCTTCAATATCAACAGAATTCTCTACGCAAGCAGATAGTATTTGAGGACTGCTTCATGTAGGCAGAAAGCTGACTTCCTTTTTTGTGTATGGGGGGCTGGGGATTGAACTCAGGACCTTGCATTTGCTAGACAGGCACGTATGCCACTGAGCTATCTCCCCAGCCCAGATAGCTGACTTCTGAAGTCAACTGGATTCTTTTCTCTACAAGTTTTAAGAGTATAGGCAAGACTCAGATACTGGTTTTGCTTTGCCTCAGTTTTCTTTTTCCTATTATGACATATCCAAGAACCATGAACAACAAATCTAGAAATCTAAACTTAGGACCAATCTAAGAAAAGTCTGAAGGGGAGTGTCTTATATCATTAAAGAAGATTTCTTTTTTTTTTCTTTTCAAAGTTTTATTGATAAACATATAGTAATGAGACAGTTTCAAATCAAATCGAAAGTACAGTTTCAACAAATAATATACTGCATATATTCTTCTTAGTGGTTAATAAAGAAGATTTCTTAATTTACTGGAAAACAAGACAAAAATAATTTTGCTATCTCACCTGAATGGGGAAAAATGAAAGGACTGCCTAGTAGAACTTTAAGCCATATGGAAAGGTTCCCCATCTGTGCTATACAATATGGTAGCACTTGAAGCATGGCTAGTGCAACTGAAGAAGATTAAATTTTATTTATTTATTTTTTTGGCGGAACCGGAGATTGAACTCAGGCCCTTGCGCTTGCCAGGCAAGCATTTATTCTACTGAGCTATCTCCTTGGCTCCAAAAAATTAAATTTTAAATAAATTTAAACACATGTGGCAAGTAGCTACTGTCATTGACAGCACAGTTCTACAGACTTTAAAATCACGAGGCCGAGGGAACGTGAAAGTCTGCTTAAAGTTACATTGGGTTATAAACCAGTTTGCTCCTAACGCTCCTGACAGTTGGTGCTGTGGACTTCTAGTCCATAAATTCAGAAATTCCTATCAGAAGAGACCTCTAAATAAAGTTTAGGTAATAAGCAGGTTTGAACATCTGCTTACCATTCAGTTCTCTGAATATACTGTAGCCCTCAAGTTCCCATTATACACAGATGTCAAGTGTTGTTCATTACCTGGAACTCTGGTCCGCATAGAAGCAACAAGCTCTTGGACGATTTCATCATTGCTTTTCCCCTCTCCACCAGAAGATGATCTTGGCTGAACCTCCAATATGGTGTTAATTAAAGTGTTGGTCTCTTTGTACTGTAATGGTGGTAAGAGAGAGTATAGTTAAAGCTCAGATTCCCCAAAAACTAATGTGCAGCAATACAGCTTACAGAAATAATGGAAGTTGTCAAAATCAAGCACATTTAATTTCATTGTTGTAAGTACACTTAAACGTGAGATCTAGACGCCTAACAAATTTTTATGTATGCTACTCATGACTATTGGCTATAGGTACAGTGTTGCACAACAGATGTCTGGAGCTTATTTATTTTGCTTGATGGGTGCCCAGGAGTCATGCCTGTGCCTAATTCCCACCATATGCCCACCGAGTAGTAAGCAAGATAAAAGTTACTCCAACACTAGTAGTCATCTTATTGACTTTCTCGAGCTCGATGCTGTTTGCAATGCCAGCTTGAGCTCTCTGATCTTGACAGAGTAGTTTAGTTCCTTTTTTAAAAAATCAAAACCAAAACCAAGGGGTTGCAGTGGCGGATTGCCTGAACGGGCAGTGGCCGGGTCACTGCGGACACAGACATCTGGGACTGTGGGAAGTGTTACTCAGGATGCTTCTGTTGGCCTGGCCTGTCTCTAGCCTTGTTCTCAGAAGCACTTTCCTGTCCATCCTGAGGAAAAATGGGGGCTCTTCAGCAGGAGGGGTGGTGCAGGCTTCCTCCCCGGCTGGGCCCACGAAGTCCTCCAAGACCAGAACATGCTCAGTCAGTGGTGATTTGAACTCTACAGCAAGTGGCCTAAGGAGTCAGGCCTGGGGACACCATCAGCTACCAGGTGACTCACGAAGACCACCAACTTACTTTCATTGTCCAAAGAGAGCTTGATGCTTGGGACGGCAGCCTGGTCTGTCTGGTTTGTTATCTGCTTGTTCTTCATAGGATATTAAAGACCACTCTCAGAACCTGTTCCCTTCACGTCTAGCTTGTTCAGAGTCATGTTACGGAGGGACATTTTGCAACAGCGGGGATGCAGGAGACAGGGGTTCAGGCGACAGCAGAGATGGTGCATTTTGAATGAGCTGACCCTTTCCCTCTTTGCCACCTTCTGGCCTTTGCTAATTTCTTTCTTTCTTTCTTTTTTTTTTTTTTTGGTGGAACCAGGGATTGAACTCAGGCCTTTGTACTTGCCAGGGAAGCGCTTATTCTACTGAGCCATCTCCCTGGTCCTTTCCTTTGCTAATTTCTAATAAGCATCTCAAGGAGTACAATTTGCTGGGAAGAGAAAGAAATAACTTACACCTTTTGTGTTAATACCCTATTGGGCCCTTCCCTAAAATACAAAAAAAAAAAAAAAAAAAAAAAAAAAAAAAAAAAAAGAAAAAAGGCCAGCCAAATAACTCAGTGGATTAAATCACCTGCAAGCAGGTGCAGGGGCTGGGATTGGATCCCCAGGCCCAGCTGTGTTGGCCCTGTCCCTGGGGCACACTGAGAGGGCAATTGAGACTGGGCATGGTGGTGTGCACCTGTAATCTCAGCTCTTGGGAGGCTGTAAACAAGAGGACAAATTTGAGTCCGATCTAATAGTGAGACCCTGAGCACCCTGTAGACTCTTCCCTAGAATACAAAAAGACAAAACAACAAAAAACACTCTATTGGTTGCAAGAGGCTGAATTACCTAACCTAATGTGTGTCTCAGGTGAAGGATAGCAGACCATGCTACTCTAAAATAAGCCATGTGACAAGAGGACTCTCTTGAGCTAAAGAGGGGCTTCCTAGAAAAGAGCAAGTGGAAGGATATTCTAATTGCTTCTCTTCTTTCTGAAGACAGGAGATTAACAACTCCTCCATGAAAGATGCCCTGGCTATAGCAGAAGAAGAAAAGGCGCATTCTTCAGTGGGGGATCACAGCCCCGAGAATGCTATACAGTCTGTGTCAAGAAGCTTCTTATCTTTCTTAGAGAGGGAAGAAGAAAGAGGAAGGAGAAGAAGAACAAGGAGGAGAGAGGTGGGGAGGGAGGAAGAGAAAGAGGGGGATGGGAGAGAGAGACAGAGAAAGAGAGAGAGAAATAGAGAGGAGAGAGAGAGAGAGAGAGAGAGAGAGAGAAAGAACCTGATGGAGGTGTGTAAGAAGCACAATTTCTGGGATGGAGTAATGAAATCATCAAGACAAAAAGAAAAAACAAAGATCTCATGGGGGGAAGTTTTCTTTTGCGCTTGCAAATGAATTTGCTGCACCATGTATAGAATTTTCACTACAGGCTGTTGGCTATATTTGCCAATGACTAGAATTTGACCATATTACATTGATTTAAAGCTGTAAATAAAAATGTTGTTCAATAAAAAAAAAGCTTCTTATCTTTCTTTAGCCTCCACACATAATTCAATTGCTTTTCCACAATTGCTTCTCTTATTTACCCTAATAGAAAAGCATTTGGTTTTGACCACTCCTTTGAATGAATCCCCACTACCTTACTAGTGTCACATAAACCTATAAGTTTTTATCCCTGTAATCTCTCTTGTGTCAATTTAATCTTCAGATGCTCTTGGAACCTAAGATAAGGCAGATGGGATTTTTGCCTCCCCCTACGCAGGCATGATGGATCCAATACTCTTCTGTGCAGGTGTGGCTATTTCTCTCTATGTGGGCTTCATTCGTTCCTGTGAGGAGCTGCTTCCATGAGGAGGTTGGGAGGGGGTAAAGGTATCAGGAACAAGGTCACAGGTGGCTGAAGGTACACAATGTCCTAGTCAGTGACTCCAGAGGAGAGACAGAGCCTTTCCTGACCACAGCATCTGCATATACTGTTTCAGGAAAGGACCTCTACTTCCTAACATGGTTGTGTAAAAACATGAGAACAGGAAAGGAGTAGCCAAACATTGGCCTCCTGGTTTTTCTAGAGATTTCGCCCTCTAACTCTTATAGGGGTAAAATCTAAGTACAAAAGAAAGATGATTGCTTTAGTCTTGTGAGGCCAAATCCAATCCTTAATCTTTAATGATTTCCGGAGTCCCAGGCACATACTTCATCCTGTGGCTTTGGTTCAGCACAGATGCTTGTGGGAGGTGGTGAACAGGAAGGGCAGGCAGGTCACAGGGGACTTTTGAGTATCTGGTTTAAGGCTCAGATTGCTCTTAGGTGATGGTACACAGGTCATACAGAGGAGTGAAAATCCCAACTGCCCTTTGCTGTGGCCTAGTATTGCAGCTATGCCTTCAGTAAGTAAGCAGTGTTTCTTCTTCTTCTTCTTCTTCTTCTTCTTCTTCTTCTTCTTCTTCTTCTTCTTCTTCTTCTTCTTCTTCTTCTTCTTCTTCTTCTTCTTCTTTCTTC